ATGGAATATTTAATGAAACAAAAGTACACCATAAATTTACACTCATATCCAGGCATACTTGGCTTAATATACCTACATTCATATGGGTGTCATTTCAATGTAAAGTATATCGTAAGTAGAGAAACTAATTTTCCGCCTTTTTAAATATAATTTAAACCAATATGAATTCCTAATTTTCTTAATTTTGTGTTTTTGGACCAATGAACATAATATAATCAGAGTAATAAGGGAGGATCAGTGATCAGTGATCTGGTCCAGACAGTGCTATAGAGCAGACCACCGTTGCACGAAGTGGAATATTTCTCACATGTGACTTAGGTACTTAGAATAATCACTGGGCCAGTTTGTATATTTTCAGAATAACTCTAGAATGCTTTAATGTGATAGCTAAGCTACCATAGGTAGGGTTAGATTCTACACTACCTTTTATTAATATCCCTACCATTCCAATGAAGAGGCCTGTAGGCTTCCCCGTTTGGTGTTAACCTAGTACCCCATTTGCTACGGTGAGTATTTAATTTATGGTACAGATGATATATTTGTGGAATTATAATGAACCACCTCGATACTTTGCTTGTGTACTCGTATGAGTAGGTGGGAACACAGACAAAGTATGAACAAAGCAATGTTATGCACGGACCACACATCATTACACAGACACACGGCATCATCCACTAAACCTATCAGTGGGGAAACGTGACGTTTATATGCCTTTGTGTAATCATAGAATATCATACATGATTGAGAAACTATTCAATTTCTGCTCAATGAAAAATCTTTTCAGGAAACCCAAAACACTATTCTATTGAAAACATCTATGTAGTGGTGTTTGGCCGATTTTCCTTGTTTTGTCTATGTTATACAGTATTTAAATGTTTTAAAGAGGATAAAACTCTATAGTAAAACGATATCAACTCCATATGCTATATCACCTGTATTGAGTAATGTATCTGTCAAGAGTCGTAATTATACAATACTTCGCCATGACTATTTCTTCAAACAGTAGCCTATATTTATTAGTGGTTGAAAAAAAAGCCTAGGATCATGAGGTCTGAATAAGTTGTCAGATTTTATGTTTACTTTTGCTATGACTCGAACAGAAAGACTGAGTACAAGTTCCTGATTAGTAAATGGAAATTTAGTCATAGAAATTAGACAAAGTCGAAGTCTTCATTACACTAGCGAATAATGAAATATGAAATATTGGTAGTTCGTGTTAAAACTATTTCCTACTCTATTTTTGGTTGCTAACCAAGCTGATACAGTTCATAACAGTTGCTCACTAGCTCACAATAAGTCATTCTATTAGTTTGAATAGACGAAAAAGTTCGTGTATTTGACGGAAATCAGTAATTTATAGATCAGCATAATCTGCCGGTAGTTCTCATCATCAACGACGATTTTTGTCAAAATAACTGTTGAAAACTTTAATATGGAGATGGAATGTCTAGTTGTATCAATAGTCAAAGCTTACCATCATATTGGCCAGTCACCTCCAGTTTGCTGAGCTGGCATTGTTGGATAAGTCAAAAATATTATTTTTCCAGCATTTCTTTAATTTTATAGTATTGTATTGTTATCGTAGACTTTAATTAGGTAACTGACATACTCTGATATCACAACAGAGTAATAATATGGCATTCTCTATTCATTAATAAAGTGTTGTTGATCCAATAGAAACATTTTGAAGGTATTTTCTCTCATAAATATTATTGATAATTTTTTGTTTTGTAACCGGTCAACTTTTTAGTGTTAAAACTGACAAGCACGTCACTAGCAGTCCCATATGTAAACGTGATGAAGAGTTTCTGTGGGACTGGACAACATGGTGGTCGTGGTTGAGCATTATAATTACAAACCGTTCTCTGAGAGTTTTGTTTTCGTTACTTTATTTATTAATATGTCTATTTATTGTTTTTATTAAATGTTATTATTATTATTTATTGGTTGTTATCTTGTCTTAGTAGTTAAATATTATGTAAATTGTGATGTTGTGTGTACCTACCAAGAAGACTGCATGGACTTTCTAAAATGGACTTAAAGATTGATGCTGCATTGTAATTGGGCTCTATGCCTGTAATGTAGTATTGTTATATAAATAAATAAATAAATAATTATTTGCTGTTTGTGGGTAAAAAAAAACTAGAGCATTATTTTGACAAATTCTATAGAATATTTTGTGATCAATGTATTTCAAATCAGTATGACTATCAATGGGTCGGTATTGGTTTTAAATCTGGAGGTTTGTTTCATGGCGTTGGGATTAAGTGCATATTCTAAATCTATATTGAAGAAATAGTAGTAAGGTAGTACAAAATTAAAATGACAAATATGGATTCTATACTATGAATATTAATTATAAGTTCATATCTGGCCACCTGGTTTATTTTACAACTAGTGTTTGTTAAAGCTAAGAAACTGGAGTCAATGGAATTGGCCGTAAAGTGTTTCGGCTTTAAAATATTCCTGCTGATTTCCCGAAGAAAATAAATAGTTTAAAATATAATTTCATGCCGTTAAATTTGTTTTGTTGTCGTTACCGAATCCCATAATATGTTTCACTACTGACCCTACAATCTACATTTTTTACATTTTACCAATTGCAATGTAAACTAATTATAATTATAATTTATTATTGTGTTGCTGGAGAAATACATGTTGCATTTAAATAATGGCCATAGATGAACGTGTGCAATTGGATTAATAGCAAAACCATATTGAGATTATATTGGGAGCTAATTTATAAACGTATTTTGACCTCTAATTTATAGATGTACTACATTTAAATGTTGTGAATTAATTCGCTTTATTGGCTAGTTTTACAACTCACTAAATCTTTACTAAGAATTCACTAAATACTAATAGGTCGTAAGGGATAGCTCTAGCCCTAGGCTGGAATATACCCTCACGTATACTCTTGTACACTCTTGTAATATCTGTTCCTGATGTTGAAATCATGATAGTAACTCTGTTTGTTAATATTAATAATTTTTCCTTAGAACAATATACCACCATATGCATGTGACATGTTTATGTGGACTGACATTTATATATATATTTCTAACGTTAGGCCTACTGCGTGTGTAGGGTTGGTTATTATTAAGCTGTGGTGACAGTTACCATATATAATTTCAGTTTAAAATATCTGTAAACAATTGGTCTATTCTATCTCTAGAGTTAGGTTGCATAAAGCTATAACAAGTTGGGCAGGTAACATAATTTGACTTACGTAGCCGTAGTTGGATGTCAACGATATGTGTATTTATTTATTTACTTATTTATTTCAACTGTTTTTCCATTTAATACAGTTTGGTACTAAACTAAATTAACAAAAATTAACAAGATGGCAGAGATTGCAATGATAATAAATACAAGCTAACAATAAAGAACTGGTTTACCTAAGAACTATAATAAATATCAACAAATATGCTCTAATTTAGTAATAATGGTAACAAATGATGGACAAAAGCAAGCAACAATAACAACAATTACACAAACAATTTTACAATCTTTTAACGTCTCTCAACGCAAGTATACAGACAGGAAACAATATACTTAGTAATGTAAACATATTTGATAGGTTTCATGAACAAGTAATACAATTACTGTTCTGGTTTTAGAAAAAATAAAGGTTATATTACAAACAAAAACAAATAGCATAAAAAATGAATTTTTTGTGTTCCGTATAGTTTGAGAATAGTTGAAAAGTTTGAAAGTACATATAGGCTACTATTATTTATATACTCACTTCTTTTAACTAGTTTAGATATTTATTACCTCAACCCAACTTGAGCCGATGAGGAATTTAACATTTGAAAAATTATTTTTCATCTTCTTGTTCGTGTAACGCATAAACGTAATATGCAGAACTGAATTAACTTTTAACTGATTGAATAGTGCATCAAAATTCTTGAGTATAGTAGGCTATTATCATTATTTTTTGGTTTGAAAATTCTATTATGATTATGCTGCATTGTTCTATCTTGTTCGCATCTTTACTTAAATGTTTTATGTGCGTGGCAGTAGTAAGAATAATCATATAAATAAATAGTGCGACATAAAACTACATTGTTGCTAATGTACATAATATTTCTGCATTTCTGAAATCGGTGCGTGAAAGTAGTGTTGTAGGGCAAGTTGAATTACTTTTGTCTCTCAACAACTTTCTTTTCGAGATCAACAATTAATTGTTTTGCGTTAGCAAACAGTTTAAAGACGGACTATGAACACTACAATTTAGTTAGAGTTTTTTTTACGTTTAGCAAACGTTAAACGTTTTTTTTTTTTGGTATTTTAACCATTTGAAGGTTCCGCGTGTGATAAATGTTTTAGTACGTCTTAAATTAGCGTTAATAAATTGTTCTTCTGTTGATAAATATGCATTTTCTTGTGTAGATTATATACACGATTTCGGTATTTGATGCCTCTGAATTCTGATTAAAATAACACAGTTTATCTATTAACCAAGACTTTTCTCGAATATCATACACTACTAATACAATAGTGTAATTAATTTTTTTTTATCAATATAAACTGATTAGACTATTGAGCAGTTTAATATGAAATCTTTTAAAACAGAAATATTTACTGCACAGTATCTGGTATGTTGAAGTTTTATGTACCTTGGGTACTAATTAAACTTGGCAGACTCTTAAGTACACATTTCGTAGATCTTATTAAACACGATTGCGGTCTCATAACCCATTTCCAGCACAGCAAACTATTTTATTTTAAGAAGAATTTAAGGGTTTGGCACACAAAAAAATAAAAATAAACACTCGCGGTGCCAAATAGTAAATTTCAGAAAACTGTAACCTCTTAAAAAATGGAGATTATTATACATGGAAAAAGAAACTTTTTAATATCTAAAGGAAGAAAAGTTTCTCAAGTACGTAAATGCTGAAGCGTTCTAAGTGGCAATTACCAACCCCCGGATAAGGGCAGTGTGTCACGTCGGTAAAGACAACACACGCCGTCGCCAATGGGCGGTTGATCGTGTTAGTAATGATCCGTCTAGTGGCGCTGTGCGCGCGCGAGCGGTAACTCTGGGTACTATCAGTCTCCACAGTCGCGCTACGACTACACTGCGACTACTGTACTGCCCCACCTCTAGCGCGTCGTGCCGTACACTCCCGCGCTCGGCATGTCGCTGCCGCTCTAACTAACTTCAAACTTTGAAAAACTTAAACAAGTGATTCAACTGTGAGAGTTAAACTTATATAATAAATTGTGCGATGCTCTAGTGACATCCTGGTAAAGTGGTAGTATGGATCACCTCGGCACGATGGTTAGGTTCTCCAGCTTCCTACTCATACTATTATTCACTATTTTTATGTTTTTCGGTAAGTAGTAAGGGAGTTTAAAAATAAATTTTAACAAGTTCTTAGGTGTTAAAAACTTTTAATAGTAAATGCACTACACATTAGAAATTGTACATAAATCGGGGACATACCGGTAGGCCTACACATTATTGAACTAGCCGAATGGTTTGAAATAAAACTAAATAAAACACAAAAAAAGTCATAATAATTCTTTAAGATTCCTTAACTATCTTGAAACTCTGTAGGTATATTAGTTTAAACTTATCATTCAAAAAGTACGAAAATTAATAAAGTAAAAATAAAAAGACCGTTTTATTAAGTTAATAAGTATGATAAAAAAGTTGCAATGCATAGTAGGCACTATATATATATAGTAGTGCATAAAATACTTAAAAAATTCTATCGATTAGTTTGACTCGATTATTTTTAATAATTTGTTTTTTTTATGCGTATAGTTAACACACTTTTAACAAATACTCAATGAAATTAACATACTGGTATAATCAACCAAAGTTTGGAGTTATTTTCTAAATACATTTTTGTTGTAATTTTGCGTTTACAACAAAATACGACATCTTATTTTTGCACCTTATTGGATTTTATTTGGCTGGATAGACAAGGCTTAAAAATATTATGAATATTTCTATAAGAAAACCACTTAACTGTATCCACATGGGAGTTTTATCCCTAGTAACACATGTCTCACAATAATATACAGCTTATGTATAGGAAAATAATCACTCTACTGTGATATAAGGAACTACTGTACAATTATGAATTATTTATGTATGTACCTTTTCATGTGTGGACGTAGGAAAGTAACTTATCTCGCAATAAAGGGTTTAAAAAATATTCCAGTAGAGTAACTACACATAATTGGCTATACTTTATAAATGTCTCGCTCAGCTCTTAACCAACTTCTTCTAAGCCAGATTTCTATAAAAGATCGCCTCCTAAATAATAGGCAGACATTAATCGCACAGATCTCGATAAATTATTTTGTTTTACTTTGTGTAATGCTTCGGAACGAGAAACATTTTACAAAAACGCGAAACATTTGACTTGGAACGCCAAAGCTCGTAACTTATGTTTTAAAACTGAATTATAGTAAAATACATCTTTGAACAAAAAATACACATTTTATAACTTGAAAAACGACCAGAGAATATCTCTGTCATACTTATTGTGTAAGTAGATGGAACTCAGATCTCAAAAACAAGATTAACATTAATGTCTTGTAAAAATAATTAATTATTTTCAAAAAACCTAAACTGGGCTTTAGAGAAATGCATTTGTAAAATGTATTAAAGATAATCCGAACCACTCTTAAAACATAGTCGGATAATACCCACGCCCCATTACGAACAAATACTTTACTAAATGAAAGCTATTAAATGCAAAGGAATAATGTTCTAAAGTTTAGTTGGGGTTGTAAGTAAAGGCTAAGTAAGTTGTGTCTTATTTGTGAAGTGGTTTGCACTTAATAAAAATACTACCCAAACAATGATTTAAAGTTAAGCAATATATTTGAGTAGATTTTCATTCAATTATTTCATATGCAAACAACTTGTCTGATTGCATCAATCAAGATAACTGTATCAGTACCACTTAAATAAGAAGCGGCGATACACGCAGTGTATACTCTGATAATGTAGGTTGCCCATTTCACGGTGTTATATTAATCAGTAGTTTCAATCTACCATAGATTTCAACCTAGTCCATAGACTAGGTTTTATTGATGATTTATTATAGATGATTTATAATTTAGGTTTTATTGGTTTTAACCATGCGTATTTATTTATTTATTCATAAACATGAATTCATGGACATCTCCATTTTACAACTATACAAATCAAAAAGTACAAAACTCAGGATGGCTAATATTGTAAACAATTGACAAGAAGAACAAAAAAGAAAACTTTTTTGAATGAATGTGAAATAAGCATATGTGTAGGCCTAAATAAAATTAAAACTTAACATATTAACAGTCATTACAACAATGCAAAGTGGAATTACATTATACAGTGTAAAGCTTAAATAGTACAACGTGAATGACTAGAAAAACATAGCTAATAAACCAAACAACAATAAGAAATTTGGTGCTTATAGACTAATATATAAATTCAATTAGATATGATAATAATGACAAACCTGCCAGCTAAATTGCAACTGAAAAATAGCAAAAGTAGACTAATATAAATTAATTTAATACAACAACAACAACAACCAACCAACCTACAAGAGAACAATAAATAACAACTGACAATAAAAAAATTCAATTTGACATGTATTGACAGCATCAATAAACCTATAAATAAATCAAAGTAACAAAAAAAAACAAAAAAATCCCAAAATTATCTAAAAATAAAAACCCTAATGCTGCTTTCAAAATGTTTGAACATTTCTGGCAGCAATAGTTTGCTTTTGTTTGTTATAATAATTGTTTGAACAAACTTTAATTAAAGATTTAAAAATAAGATTGTGTGTAAAATTTTAAAGCTAGGGTAAAAAAGAAACTTCCTTTGATGAACTATATTTTTGTCATGCCGCAACAATCATAATTCACAATACATACATTTCATGCATTGCTACCCCTGTCATGGTTTCATTTTTGTTTTGTCGATATAAACAAAGATTTACATTTCAATTTATCAAAATATTGTAATGGGGTTTATGTTTTAGAGTAATATACAATACGATACGACATTCTTTATAACGGTACATTATAGTTTATGTTAATTGGGACAATATATTTTTAAAAATCATCAAACTAATTAATTTAAAAATAAAAAAATAAGTTTATTTAATGGACTATAATGGTCTAGCTGATTTGTTGCCAAAAAGTTTTGCTCACTACGCATGTATTGAAAACCGTAGTTTATTCAGCTGTGGCAAGATGAAAAATGTATTTGGATTAGTGAAACAGGGATAGAAAAACTAAATACACTATTTAAAGTATATAGTAGAACTTCATCGTTTATTTGATGAAACTGGTGCTTCTTCAATGACTTCTCACTAACGAAGAATGTACTGTATTACAGCAATAATGCGGGAAAATACATTGATTGTCTTTTTGATATTGGTTTAACAAATCAGAAGTATATTTTATACCTTGTACACACTTTGTTACAAACCGCTTATTATTCTAGCACAAGGCCCGAGAAAACGTTAGGTATATGTTCTAAAAATAGACCACCAAAGTAATGACATTTAAAACTATGTTGGGCATGGTTAATCCCAATTATATTTGCCAACGTTACCCTTAGCTAATCAATTCAAATAAGTTACTGATTTTAGATATAATGAGCTTAGTGCGTTTTTAAACAGTCACTTGGCATTAGGACCCTTAAAACTCTTCGTAATTTAATGCGGGTGGAAAGCACATTTTTTCTCTACAAGCCAAATACCAATTATAACATGATTGTTGTAACAATACAAGTTGGTTTTAGTGAATTAAGTGTAAAACGGTTGTTCACCTAATATACATTATAATTTGGTAAAATAATAGACCAATGGTTGTATTCTACCAATACAAAAATATCAAATTCTAGTTCTTGTTTCAAAAATGTCTTTCTAAGGGAATTACAAGATATTAAGCAACTACTTGATGTGGAAAGATTCTAATATTGATTCCCTTATTTACTCAAGTTCACTGATCACAATAAAAAAATTGGGGTTTTTAGAACTTAGTACGTTATAGACCTTCTAACTGTCAACAAAGCTGTACAAGCCCCATTGCTGTAAAAGCTATTGAAACTTATTTGATTTTCCCATAATATAACGGACAAATTAGATTTTCAAAAAGGTAGCGTGACCGATTTTGGTTTAAATTTAGTATGGTAATGTCCTTATACCTCTCTTAACAAATGGTACAACCTCCATTCTGTAAAATTACTGTTTAAAGTTGCTGCAAAATTTGTGATTTCCCCCTAAAATATTATTGAGCGGAGCGAGCGAAGCGAGCGAAGCTCTTATACGTCGACTTTTATGCATTTCGTAATACGCAAACTCCTCCTAAACGGCTGAATCAATCGTTTTCAAATTTTGCATGGTGATAAAGACCATATCGGTGAGTGCCAACATCTATATGGCGTTAAAAAAGTCTCTCAGGAATCCGCCCCACTGGGTCTCAAAGTTTCAATGTAATCCTTATGGAAGCAGTATTTGACACATAAACAAAGACATATGATCAGCTGTTGACTTTTGAATGCAGTAAATACATAAATAGCTGATAGCATTATTCCACAGATATTAGAACATAAACGGTGGTATGGATCATAAATATAATCAAATGACGACACTAGCTTGAGGTCCGTGACGTAGGAAGTGGTGAAGTAAGTAGTAAAGGTGAGCTGTCTGGAGCGTGGAAACTGTTTAAGACGATAAGATTTAGGTAGGTATCTGCATTCCTAAAATTCTATGGGAAGGGAGGAAAACGGGTCTGTGACGTAGGAAGTGGTGAAGGAAGTAGTCAAGGCGAGCTGCCCGGAGTGTGGGAGCTGTTTATGACGATTAGATTAAGGTATCTGCATTCCTAAAATTCTATAGGAAGGGAAGGAAACAGGTCCGCGAAGTAGGAAGTGGTGAAGGAAATAGTCAAGGCGAGCTGTCCGGAGTGTGGAAACTGTTTATGACGATTAGATTAAGGTATCTGCAATCCTAAAATGCTATGGAAAGGGAGGGAAAAAGGTCCGTGACGTAGGAAGTGGTGAAGGAAGTAGTAAAGGCGAGTTGTCCGGAGTGTGGGATCGGTTTATGACCAATAGATTAAGGTATTTGCATTCCAATAATGGTAAGAGAAGGGAGGTAAACAGGTCTGTGACGTAGGAAGTAATGAAGGAAGAAGTAAAGAAAAGTTTTTCGGAGTGTGGGAATTGTTTATGACGATTAGATTAAAGTATTTGCAATCAAATAATGCTAAGGGAAGTGAGGTAAACAGGTCCGTGACATAGGAAGAGATGAAGGAAGTAGTAAAGGCGAGTTTTTCGGAGTGTGGGAACTGTTTACGACGATTAGATTAT